TGATCTCATGGTTTCTAAGTTCAAGCCCCATGTTGGGCTCTGTGCTGACAGCTCAGAGCCTGGAGCCTGCTTCAGATTCTATGTCTCCCTCTCTCTCTGCCCCTTTCCTGCTCGCACTCTATGTCTCTCTCAAAAAATAAACATTAAAAATTTTTTTTTACTTTTTCAGAAACTTTATTTATTTAGAGAGAGACAGAGACAGCATGAGGTGGGGAGGCGCAGAGAGAGAAGGAGAGAGAATCCCAAGCAGGCTCTGTGCTGCCAGTGCAGACAGAGCGCAACGCAAGGCTCAAACCCACGAAACTGAGATCATGTCTTGAGTCAAAACCAAGAATCAGACGCTTTACTGACTGAGACACTCAGGCGCCCCCATACTGCTTATCTTTTTAGGTGAATGACTTATCTTTTAAGATAAGTTTATTCTTTAACTGGAAGCTTTGGAGGGCAGGAATGGAGCACTATGTATCATTTTAACTCACTGATAACTCCAGAATTCAACCCTGCCTAAGGAAAAAGCAAGTAGCATTTATTAAATGTTAGTGAATGATTCTAAGTTTAAATCTTCAGCTTTGTGGTATAGGCAAGGGAGGGGAACGGAAGGGGTGAGAATTGGGCCTCAGGGCCTCAAGGTCTATGGCCAAAGTGTTCCTGGAATTGACAACCTACCCACCAACCAGTCACCTAAAATAAATGCTAGTTTTACCCAAGACTGAAGAAAAAGTCAGTGTAATAAATCCGATCTCTTTATGTTCTTCCCTACAATAAGAAAACATTAGTCTAATATCCTCAATGGGAAAAAACTGATAGCTTTTCCCTTAAGGTCAGGAACATGACGGCTATGTACATTCTCACCACTGTTGTTCAACGTAGTACTGGAAATCCCAGCCTCAGCAATCAGACAATGACGACGACAACAACAAAAATAAAAGGCATACAAATTGGCAAGGAAGAAGTCAAATGTTCACTCTTCGTAGGCAACAAGATACTCTATGTGGAAACCCAAAAGATGCCAGCGAAAAAATTGTTAGAAAAGACACATAAATTCAGCAAAGCTGCAGGATATAAACTCAACGTAGAGAAATGTGTTGCACTTCTTTACACCAATAATGAAGCATCAGGAAGAGAAATCAAGAGTCGATCGCATTTACAATTGCACCAAAAACCTTAAGATAGCTAGGAGTAAACCTAACCAAAGAGGTAATAGATCTCTACACTAAAAACTATAGAAAGCTTATGAAAGAAATTGAAGACGACACAAAGAAATGGAAAAGCATTCCATGCTCATGGATTGGAAGGACAAATATTGTTAAACTGTCGATACTACCCAAAGCAGTCTACACATTCAATGCAATCCCTATCAAAATAACACCAGCATTCATCACAGAGCTAGAACAATCCTAAAATTTGTATGGAACCAGAAAATCCCCCGAATAGCCAAAGTAATGTTGCAAAAGAGAACCAAATCTGGAGGCAACACAATTCCAGACTTCAAGTTGTATGACAAAGCTATAATCATCAAGACAGTATGGTACTGGCACAAAAACAGACACATATATCAATTGAACAGAATGGAGAACCCTGAAATAGACCCACAAACATATGGCCAACTAATCTTTGACAAAATAGAAAAAAGTCTCTTTAGCAAATGGTGTTGGGAAAACTCGACCACTTTCTTACACCAAACACAAAAATAAATTCAAAATGGACGAAAGACCTAAAGGTAAAACAGGAAACCATCAAAATCCTACAGGAGAAAACAGGCAGCAACCTCTCTGACCTTGGCTACATCAACTTTTTACTAGACATGTGTCCAGAGCCAAGGGAAACAAAAGCAAAAATGAACTTATTGGGACCTCATCAAGATAAAAACCTTCTGTACAGTGAAGGAAACAATCAATAAAACTAAAAGGCAATCGACAGAATGGGAGAAGATATTTGCAAATGACATATCCGATTAAGGGTTAGTAACCAAACTCTATAAAGAACTTATCAAACTCAAAACCCAAAAAACAAATAATCCAGTGAAGAAATGGGCAAAAGACATGAATAGGCACTTTTCCAAAGACATCCAGATGGCTAACAGATACCTGAAAAAATGCTCAACATCACTCATCATCAGGGAAATACAAATCAAAACCACAATGAGATACCACCTCACACCTGTTAGAATGGCTAAAATGAACAACTCGGGCAACGACAGATGTTGGCAAGGATGTGGAGAAAGAGGGACCCTTTTACACTGCTGGTGGGAATGCAAACTGGGGCAGCCACTCTGGAAAACAGTATGGAGGGTCCTCAAAAAGTTAAAAACAGGGACGTGTGGGTGGCTCAGTTAAGCATCCATCTCTTGATTATGGCTCAGGTCATGATCTTGCAGTGTGTGAGTTCAAGCCCTGCATTGGGCTCTGCATTAACAGTGCGGGGCCTGCTTTGGATTCTCTCTCTGCCCCTCCTGTGTGTTCTTGCTCTCTCAAGATAAATAAGTAAACTTAGGAAAAAAAAAAAAGTTAAAAAATAGAATTATCCTACAACCCAGCAGTGCACTACTAGGTATTTATCCAAAGGATACAAAAATGCTGATTTGGAGGGGCACATGCACCCCAATGTTTATAGCAGCGTTATCAACAATAGCCAAATTATTGAAACAGCCTAAATGTCCATCTATTGATGAATGGATAAAGAAGATGTAGTATAATACATATATATTGGAATATTAAATATATATATAATGGAATATTACTCAGCAATCAAAAAGAATGAAATCTTGCCATTTGCAATAACGTGGATGAAACTAGAGTGTATTATGCTAAGCAACATAAGTCAGAGACAGAGATCATATGATTTCACTCGTGTGGAATTTAAGAAACAAATAAATACAGGAGAAGGAAAGGAAAAATAAGATAAAAACAGAGAGGGAGACAAATCCTAGGAGACTCTTAAATACAGAGAACAAACAGGGTTGGTCAAGGGGAGGTGGGCTAAATGGGTGATGGGCATTTAAGCAGGGCTCTTGCTGGGATGAGCTCTGGTATTATGTCTAAGTGATGAATAACTAAATTCTACTTGTGAAACCAATACTACACTATATGTTAACTTGAATTAAAAAAAACAAGCAAAGAAAAACAGGGGTGCCTGGCTGGCTCAGTCTGTACAGCATGCGATGTTTGATCTCAGGGCCATAAGTTCAAGCCCCATTCTGGGCACAGAATTTACTTTAAGAAAATGTGTGTGTGTGTGTGTGTCTGTGTCTTTGTGGCTCAGTTAGTTAAGTGTCTGACTCTTGATCTCAGCTCAGGTCATGATCCCAGTGTAATGGGATTGAACACCATGTCGGGCTCTGCCCTGAGCATGGGGACTGCTTAAGATTCTCTCTCCCCCTCTGAGACTCTCCCCTCCTCGTGAGCTTTCTTTTCTCTCTAAATAATAATAATAATAATTATTATTATTATTATAAATATGTATATATATGCTTAACAAAAAATACTACATAGAATAACTTGTGGAAAATTAAGCAGGCTCAGTATGTACTACTACCCTGACCATACAGCATAAGACAACTAGAGTTCAACAGCCATGGATTTTTGTCACCCCAGGCAACTCACAAAATCCACTTTCTGCTCTGCTTCAGCCTCAGAAGCAAACAGCCCTGAAGGCAAAGTAAGAAGTATTAGGCGCTCAGCAAAGCGATTTTTGAAGGCTGGTCACTCTTGGGTAGCAGTGTATTTGTAGAGAAAGGCTGAATCATCTCTCAACAGCTTCAGAGAACTGCTGCCACATGAGTGCGTATGCAGTATTCTCATTTGCGAATGCTGCTTAACCATTACTGGGAAGTAAGCAGAAATGAAGAAGGATCCATTCACCAACCATACAGGAAACTCACTGAAACAATTGTGAGAAATGCATCAGGAAGGTGGTACAACTCTGGGCTAAGGCTGCAGGCTCTGGTGTTAGAATCCCTGAGTCCAGATCCCTGCTCTGCCAACTACTGCTGTGTGACCTTTAGCAATTGACATTTTTCTGCTTTAGTTTCACCATCTTAAAATAGTAGTAATTCCTACGTCCTACAGTATTGTGAGAAATACATGAGGTAATAAATGCACGCAAAGCACTTAGACTAGTGCCTAGTACATAATAACACACAAGTACTAAGTGCTAGATACCATTTCTACCAATGGTGTGATATATTTTCATTCACACTAGTAGACTTCTTAGCCTTTGGACATCAAGGAAAAAAAGACTCATGCACCCAATGAAAACACAATTTAAAATACACATGTTGGGAGATTAGCACTAGATCCAGAAAATGGATTGAGAAACAACCTGGCTGCATTTTTTATCTGTTTGAATATTTGATGTCAGTACATGAGCTCTAGGTCTTGCTTACCAAGAGAAGTCCCCTCCACCACTGCTGCCCTAAAGATACACAAAAAATGGCCACCCACAGCTGGTGCAAGCTCTGCCACATGGAATAAAAATTAAACGAGTGTGAACATGTACGTTAGCTAGTGTGTTAATCAGGTGTTTAAAAAGGCTGATGAAGGGTGCCTAGGTGGCTCAGTTGGTTAAGCATCCAATTTTTTTTTTATGTTTATTTTTCATAGACAGAGAGAGAGACAGACTCCAAAGCAGGCTCCAGGCTCTGAGCTGTCAGCACAGAGCCCAACGTGGGGCTCAAACCCACAAACTGCGAGATCATAACCTGAGCCGAAGTCAGACGCTTAACTGACTGAGCCACCCAGGCACCCCAAGCATGTAATTCTTGATTTCAGCTCAGATCATGGTCTCGCAGTTCGTGAGTTTGAGCTCCACATCGGGCTCTGTGCTGGCAGCACGGAGCCTGCTTGGGATTCTTTCTCCCTCGCTCTCTGCCCTTCCCCTGCTCACTCTCTCTCTCTCAAAATTAAAATAAACATTTAAAAAATAAATAAGTAAAAAGTCTGATGAAATAGAAGAACATGCTTTTTCCATAGCATTCAATATGAACACACAAGATTTCTTACCCAATAACATCATCTCCCCAACACTGTCTTCCTTCTCTGAGGTGGGTTGTTGAGTAGCATCTAGGCTCACACATTCTTCTTGGGAGTGAAATACATTCAAATCCTCAAAGACCACCAGTTCCTGAAAGAGCAATAGACCCCATTCCTCTTAATAACAGAGGTTGTTTGACATCCTTGCTGGTAAAATAGGCTGGAACCCAAGGATCAGGGAAGGGAAGGTGAAAGGGACCTATAAATCCTACACAGATGCAGCAGACAGGAAACCCAGGCTCAGACAGGAGCCAAAGGATAAGCAGAAGAGAAACATCCAAAGAGGCAATGAAAACAAGCCCACTCTCCTTACAAGGGTATGTCTTTTTTTTTTTTTTTTTTTAAATACATATATATGGGTTGACTGAGCGGGGAGGGCTGTAAGAGCAGAGAAAGTGATGTACTCAAAACAGTGAATGGGAAAACCGAACCCACCTCAGGCTCAGTTTTCAGATACAGAGACAATGTGTCCTGTTTCTGCTGGATTCCTTCTCTGGGTAGAAGCTTCACTATGGGATGAGGTTGCACTGGGGAAAGAGGAAGCTGTAGTTAATGGAAATGTCAGTGATTCTAATATGGAAACCCTAACCACACCTTGAGGCCACACTGTCCTCACTCCCTCAGAAGGCAACTCATGGTTTTTTTTCAGCTTCTGTGAGCCCAGGGAAGAGCTCAAGCCATAAATCACAGGGTCTTGAACCTGTATCTAGGGTCTCCTCATTATGAAAAGAATGATTCCCTTAAGGGTTTTTTAAATTCTCTTCACTAGTAAAGGGGAGGGTAAAGTCTGGAGATGCCCATAACAAGCACAAAATTTCCAAAATTCCACATAAACGGCAGTCAATTAAACAATTCATCCAAATTTCTTTATGGTAAAACGATATACACTCCCCCTCCACTATGGAAAGTTACACACAGTTTATTCCATGGCTTTACATACACCCAGCAATCCACTCAAGCGCCAGCTTGAGAAAAAAAATACTCCCTCTCCCCAGTATGTTGACTTATTAAAATCCACTCCTTTTTTTCAATACCCACTATCCTAACCTGAATTCATTACTAACATGAAAACCTATTTCAGACCCCAATACCATTCTCTTCTCTTCTAGTGAAACAGCATATACTTCTTACATCTGTTCTGAAAGTTTGAGCTCACATCCTTCATAATAACCAAAGTCTCCTTGACTTTCTGATTGGGCTGCACCACGCTTGGCTTGGGCAAGAAGGTGAGGAAGTGCTCCAGAACTAGCTGGTGGATGGTCTTGGGCCCACTAGTAGCATCTCGAAGTAGGTCTTGGCCCAGCTTGGAGTCCGGAGGAACTCTCAGTATAAAGGACCGCTTTGGCTTTAGGGGCATTGGAACCACTTTTGCAGCCATCACGCCTTGAAATCACACACCACACTCGTTTTGCAGAGCTTCAGGAGTCCCCTCTTACCGAAGGAAATCTGTCAGATAGCCAAGCTGCAGACAAGAGAAACCATGGGTTACCCACAAAACCAGGTAGGCATGCCTGCACCCCAGTATGCGGCCTGGAGAGTGAGGCCACACGAAATGTAAAGCGGAAGGAAAGGTAAGCTGGGGTGGGGGAACTCCTAACTGAAACGGAAGGTCCCTGAACTAGACACTCTTAACAAGCTTGGCCTGAAAGGAAGATCTGAGAATGAAAGCCGGACGATGTCCAAACCTCAAGGGTCATCCTCCCGAGAAATAGGAGATGCAAACTCCACTGGGAAGAGCGGGTGAACTCAAGCAGGTAGGAAGAGCGATGGGCTAGAAGACAGGACACCTGGGGTCCGACACCAAGGGCATCTGCTTATAAGTTGGCCTGGCCACTGAATCAAGCCGTAATGCGCACCTAGGACCCCGGGTCCCTCAGATGCCCTTCGGGGAGGGAGGGGGGCAGTTGATGGCTCAAGGAGCAATCGCAAGGCCCCAAGAGCTGTCCATACATGGCCTGCTGACTCTTTTCCGCCGTGAGAGCCCCGGTGAGAGCGGCAAGGGACATCCCAGTAGGGGCCGGCAGGCCAGGCCCACTCTGGAGCCTCTCCCACCGGCCAAGGGGCACCTTTACCACAACGACCAGCCAGCGGCATTGCCCGGGGTACGTTCCCGGCTCCCCAGCCGGTCAGGCACTCCCAGCAACGGACCAAGCTCTGCTCCCTAGAGGCCGCGTCAGCCTGGTTCCCGCCCTCGCGGAGCCCCTCACCTCTCGGGGGCTGTGCCGCCTCTGGGAGCTTGCAGGGGACGGTCCACAGACCCAGGCGCAGAGACACGGGGAAACTAGGCGCGAGAGGCCAAGCCCTCCCCTCGCCCTTCGGAGTGCCCTCACAGGCCGCCGGCGACTATTGGCGAGCGCCGCCGTCAGTTCAGGAGCACGGCCGGGCGCGGTGCCTTCTGGGAGACCGGGTGCCCCCGCAGCTGCTACGTCACGACCGGTACTTCGCTTCCGGTGCGGAAGCCTGGTCTCCCCGCTCGGAGCGAGCAGTCTGCGCTTGTGAAGGCGAGGCTCGAGGCCGGCGACAGACCTCTCAGCGACAGAGGGAGGTTAGGCTGGCGGCAGCCGCTGTGTCTGGGGCCCTGTTTGGGAGACGAAAGGCAGAAAGCTGGCCCCAGTCCTCCATGACGGACTGGCACCTCTCCAGGTACTGGCGGTGTAGCTCCGTGACCTGCTGGGAAATGTAGTTCGGCTCCAAATAGCCAACGGGTGACCGCCAGGCGCGGCGGTTGCGACGGGGCAGTCCCACTCCCATCCCACCCACACCCCACCCCTGCGGCTCGGCCGGATGTGGGCTGTCTCTCGGACCGGAAGATCTGCGCGAGGCGGCGGCTGTTTCCGCCAGAGCGTCCAGTGTGGGTCAAAGGACTGCAGAGGCGGTGAGTGGGGTGGTGGGTCAAGGTCTTTGCCGGGTTCCGGGTCCTGTCACAGCTGTCCCTCCTGACGGGGGCGGCCCGTAGGTCAGAGCCGGGCGACCCTCCCTTTCCCTGCTTGCCAGCTTCTACCGTGCGTTCTGAACGGGTCTTGTTTTCAGAGAAATCCTAGTGGTCCTTCTCCAGTCGCCTTCGTTTCCGTCCTCAGCCTCTCACGGAGGCCTAAGCATCCTTTCTCCTTGCGTTGTTCCTGTACTCGGTTTATTCCCCAGTGAGGCACTGCTCAGGGTTGTGACAACCTCGGGGCAGGGATTGCCTTATTCCTCTAAGCAACACCAGCCTCCGGCTGGATGACACAAGTAAAAATACAAATATTTTTTTTTCTTAACCTTGACTGTAGGTGACTCACTTAGCCATGGTTTAAAATATGTTACAGAAGGGGCGCCTGGGTAGCTCAGTCGATTAAGCGTCCTACTTCGGGTCGCGATCTCGCCGTTTGGGAGTTCAAGCCCCACATCAGGCTCACTGCTGTCAGCCTGTCAGTGCGGAGCCGGAAGCCTGCTTCAGATTCTCTTGTCTCTTTCTCTGCTCCTCTACTACTCGTGCTCTGTCTCTCAAAAATAAATAAACGTTAAAAAAATTTTTTTTAATATGTTACAGAGTAGTGTCAAAACTGTGTTCTACCACAAGTTTTTGTAAAAATAAAGAATACTTGCCTTTCCAGGCATCAAACACAAAACAAAGCAAACAGCAATAAAAATTGCTTCAAGCAAAGCAGTATGGTTTGGGGGCACCTGAGTGGCTTAGTCGGTTAATTCTTTATTTGGGATCAGGTCATAATTTCACAGTTGGTGAGGCAGAGTTCTGTGTTGGGCTATGTGCTGACATTATGGAGCCTGCTTGGGATTCTCTCTCCCTCTCTCTCTGCCCCCTCCCTTGCTCAGGCGTGTGCTTTTGAATAAATAAACTAAAAAAAAAGGGTGCTGGTGGGGCCTGAGTGGCTCAGTGAGTTAAGTGGGGGAATCTTGATTTCAGCTCAGGTCATGATCTTGTGATTCGTGGGTTCCATCCCTGCATCTAGCTCCACTCTGACAGCTGGGAGCCTGCTTGGGATTCCCTCTCTGCCCCTCCTGTGTGCTTGCACTCTCTGTCACCCGCCCCCTCAAAAAAAAAAAAAAAGTATGCAGGTCATGACCCCATGGTTAGTGAGTTTGAGTCACACATCAGATTCCATGCTGACGGTGCAGAGCTTGCTTGGGATTCTCTGTTTACCTGCCTCTCTGCCCCTCCTTCACGTTCCTTCTCTCTCTCTGTCTCTCTCTCTCTCTCAAAATAAATAAGATCAGTATGATTTGAACTAGGAGTCAATAAATAGAACAGTAGAAAAGAATAGTAAATACCAAAATTGACCTGAATGTCTGTGAACCTGTATGAAGGGTAGCATTTCAACTTAGCATAAAATAGATGATGCTAAGCAAAAATTGTCTCTTCTTCTGGAAAGAAAGTAAGGCTCGTTTCCTTATACTGTACATAAAAAAATGGAATTTAATAACCAGTAAAAGAACACAAAAGAACGTTAATGTAGACGCAAAACAAGAAACTGAAATGCCTTAAAGTAAAATATAATCCTGTGTAACTGTATTTTACAAAAACTTTGGGGGCGCCTGGGTGGCTCAGTCGGTTGAGCATCCGACTTCGGCTCAGGTCAGGATCTCGCAGTTTGTGACTTCTAGCCCCGCATCAGGCTCTGTGCTGACAGCTCAGAGCCTGGATCCTGTTTCAGACTCTATGTCTCCTTCTCTCTGCCCCTTCCCTGCTCATGCTCTGTCTCTCTCTCAAAAATGAATAAACATTAAAAAAAAACTTTAAAAAATAGTATTAATAAAGTCAACTAATGAATAGACTGGAAAGCAATTGTAAATGAAAGACCAGATAAAGAATTAGACATTCCCAACATACAAAGAACTCCTGCCAGCTGATAAAAGACAAAAGGCAAAGGCTATGAAGTCACGAAAAGTAAATGGCCATTAATATTTGAAAAGAAGCTTAGGCACTTTAGAAATAGTTTGTCAGTCTCTCAGAATGATATCACAGAATTACCATGGCCCAGCAATTCCATTCTTAGGTATAAGCTCAAGAGAAATGAAAACATATTTCCATACAAAAACTTGTATGGGAATAGCAGCATTATTCATAATGGCTGAAAAGAAACAATCCAGATGTCTATTAACTGATGAGTGGCTAAACAAGATGTAGTATGTCCCTACAATGGATTATTTTTCAGCAATAAAAAGAGGAATGAAGTACTAACGCATCATTTAACATGGATGGACCTAGAAAACATGCCAAGCGAAAGAACCCAGTCATAGAAGCCCGCATATTGTATGATTCTACCGGCATGAAGTGTCCAGAACGGGCAAATCCACAGAGACAAAAAGTGGGTAGTGGTTGCCGGGGGCTGGGGATAGGACAGAAGGGCAAGTGACTGCCAGTGGATGTAGGGCTTGTTTTGGGGGTGATGAAAATATTCTGGATTTAGTGCTGAGGTTTGTACATATTGTGAATATACTAAAACCCGCTTAATACATACTTTGATGCTTATTTTTAAGAGGGGGAGACAGGGGCGCCTGGGTGGCGCAGTCGGTTAAGCGTCCGACTTCAGCCAGGTCACGATCTTGCGGTCCGTGAGTTCGAGCCCCGCGTCAGGCTCTGGGCTGATGGCTCGGAGCCTGGAGCCTGTTTCCGATTCTGTGTCTCCCTCTCTCTCTGCCCCTCCCCCGTTCATGCTCTGTCTCTCTCTGTCCCAAAAATAAAATAAACGTTTACAAAAAAAAAAAATAAATAAAATAAGAGGGGGAGACAGAGCGCAAGCAGCGGAGGGGCAGAGAGAGGGAGACACAGAATCCGAAGCAGGCTCCAGGCTCCAGGCTCCGAGCTGTCAGCACAGAGCCCGACGCGGGGCTCGAACTCACAAGCCGTGAGATCTTGACCTGAGCCGACGTTGCATGCCTAGGTGCCCCTTAATATACAGTTTGAAAGGGTGGATTTTATGGTATGTGAATTCTATCTCAATGAAAAAAAAAAAAAGGGAAATTTTCATCTTACAAATACAAATGTTTAGTATCTAAAATATTTATGTAGTTCCATAAAAATATTTATGGAACTACAGACAGCTGAGTTCCCTATCTAGATTCTACATGGCAAGTAGTTAAAGGAACTGTGCTGTTCCTGTAGAATGAAGTGAAAAGTAGGAGTTCATATGGAAAATTCACAGCCTCACTAACAGGTGATGAAATAAATAAATTAAAACATAGGTAAAACCCCATTACATCTCTACCGAGTCCGCAAAAAAAATGTTTAAATGACAAACGTTACTTTGGGCATGAAACATTATTTAATCTTTCTGAAGGGTTGTATGGCCAGCTGTAACAAGTGTCATCAAATAGTTCACATTCTGAAGCCATTTTATGAATAACAGGAGAAAATATATATGTACGGGGAGGTGGTGGAGAAAATACAGGAAGATGTTCATGGAAAGGTTTCATCAAGGGGAAATTGGGAACAGCTAAGCAAATAGAACACATGAACTGTGTTGGAGTGTCAATTGTGTGCATAGAACCAAATTCCAGGAAGGAACCAAGGCCTTGTTTCATGTTCTGGCCATAACTGTGGAGAACTTGAGTCCAGTCTAGGTTCTAGCATGAAAATGGAAAGATGAGTTGGAGTAGGAGAGGTTTAGAGTCTAATATTCTTTTGATTCTTTTCTCCCTCCCTCTTACATCCTTTCTCTTTGCATCTCTTTAAATGGGGGATGGCAGAGGGAGTACCTGAACTAGAACACCCAATATTCCACAGATTCTCCATGGATCAGGACAGATTTTTTTTAAAAAGCTGACACTTGAAACGTGTGTCTGTTTTCCCACTCGAGCAGCTCCGTCTTTCGCATGGTGTTCAGTAGGGAAGTGGGATCTCACAGTGATCGACTAAGTGACAACAAATTGAGTGCAAACCGAGTGCAGTTATGACCAGATTTTCAAATCGGTTTATTTATGAGGCCCAGTCTGCTTGATTGATTTTTCAGCTTTCCAAGTCCTCAAGAAAAGAGGGGGATGGAATGAAGGGACACATCTTTGCCATAGAGTTCTGAGGGAACCTGAGGGTGAGGTCTCTGTCTCGGGGGCATCTTAGGGTGCTAATTCATACAAGGATTTATTAAGCAACAGCCATGTACTTCCCCCTTTGAGGTATCATCAGTACATGTGCTCTCTTCACCCTTGTTTTACCAATATTTGTGTACCTAGCTTATTTCTGCTACCATCCCATAGGCATTTTGGACATAGACGCTATTTCTCTTATTCAATATATTACCCACAGCAGCTGAAACCCAGTAAGTGTTCGATAATGACAGTTGAGTATACGGATTCAAGATACAAGGCTGGGAGCCAGAAGAGAGATGCAAAGTGTTGGGCATTCAGGGAGGCCCCTGGCCACCCACTGGACAGATGATCAGAGGATCCGTGTTCTTCCCTCCATCATGTGTTCCAGGGCTGAAGATAGGCTGAAGGGGCCCAGAGCAAGAGAAGCTGGTGAATGTGTAGATAACGGATTTGTTTGTTACATTGTAAAAGGAAATGTCTCCGGTGGTGTAATCAAGGAAGATGCCGACACGTCTGGGGGGTTCCGTCATCTGCAGGCGCGTTGGAGGAATGGTGGACACCTGGAATTCGCTTCGCTTTGTCATCATCACCACCCAATAGCCATTGTCAGGTGACAGAGTCATGTTCCCCTTCCTGCTCATGGATGCCTTGCAGATACCCAGGATCCACCCTGTCTTGTTTCCTACCTCCACTTCCCAATAATGGCGGCCAGAGAGGAAGCTTGGAAGGCCTAGGGCAATGATGCAACTATCGAATCTTTCTGGACTGTCAGGCAGACGATCCCACTTGTTTCCAAGTCTCACACTTTTCAGGTCATTAGAGAAGATGAGATTGGGGTGGGCAGTTTCTGTGTCCAGAATCACATTAACTGCAGAGAGAATTAGAATACCTAGCTGGGGGTCCCTGGGCAACATCCCCACAGGGTCCTCCCCGCCTCCAGGAAACATGCAAAGGGACATTCTTCTAGAATTCAGTGGAGGTCAGCACGGGGACCCAGTAGGTAAAGGCCACTTGCCTTGGTCTGGGCACTTACCGGCATGCGTCTGAGCGTAAATCAGTTCTGGAACTATAGAGAAAAACAAGATGGGAGAGGGGGGAACCCTGAGCATCCCAATTCAGAGAGGCTAAATCTACTCTGGTCACTGCAACCAGGACAGACAAGGACCCCCATCCCAGCTCAGGACCTTGCATCTTCTGCTTGGATTAACCCCATTCCTCCCAGACCCCAGGGTCTGCCTTGGAGACTCTGTGGTCTGATGAGACGACCCAACCAACGAGTCCAGTACAGAGCCTATGAGGGCTTTCTTCTGCCTTTGATACGCGTGTTTCTCTCTCTTCTAAATAATGCCCAGCAGTCAAGCATAGGGAATATCACAGTAGGCCCTGGCAAGACATTATACCACCACTATACTCACCATTGATGGTGTCCATTTCTGAATGCAGAATTTCTAAAAGAAGAAAGGGAGGTTGAGTTAGGTTCCGAGGCTAGGGACAGATCTGGAAGAGGCTGAAGGTGGCGTCACAATGGCCGTGGGCGATGGGGAAGAGGTGCCCGGGGGTTCTGGGCTATGTGCTTCTCAGGGAGGAAGTCAGCAGATACCTCCCATTTTCTTCCTAGCCCACCTACCCGAGAAGTACTTCATGCTCTTCTCCACAAACTCTGATTTCTGGTAGAACAAATGCATCTTTTTTTCCACGTCTGGAGGAGTGGCCCATGGCTTAGGGACAGTCACCATCTTGGCCCTAGAGGCAAAAGATTGTTGGGGCGCCTGGGTGGCTCAGTCGGTTGAGCGTGTGGCTCTTGATTTTGGCTCAGGTCATGATCTTGGGATCATGGTCCCAGGGTCATGGGATTGAGCCCCGAGTCAGGCTCTACAATGAGCTTGGAATTTGCTTAAGATTTGCCTCTCTCTCTCTCTCTCTCTCTCTCTCTCTCTCTCTGCCCCTCCCCCACGAGCACTCTCTCTTTCTCTGAAATTAAAAAGACTGTTGGCCAGAGAAGGCAGGAGCCTAGGGGTAGTTCCCATGAGCTGGAAGTAAGGTGCAACCTCCACAGGGCACACCCAGTCTGCCTGGGTTTTGCAAAGAAAGTCTTCTCTGGACTTTGAGTTTTAAACACTGGTCCTCAACTTTGGCCACAGATTGGCATGACCTAGGGGTTTTTAAAAAACACTGATATCAAGACCACGATCAGTTTTAATAGCGGCCTGAAAATGGTGCTGATATTGAAATGTTCAGCCCAGAATTAGCTAGGTCAAATTAATTACACTTCTTCGGTCTTTTGCTGTTGAAATAGAAATGATAAGAAGAACAAAGAGCCACAATGAGATATGACTCATTAGAATGGCTATTATTATTTTGAAAAAAAAAATCAAAATGACAAGTATTAGCAAGGACCTGGAAACATTGGGACCCTTGTGCATTGGTGGTAGGAACGTAAAATGGTGCAGACACGGTGGGAAATAGTATAATGGTTCCTCGAAAAACCAAACATAGAATTACTATATGACACATCAATTCTACTTTTGGGTATATACCCCAAAGAATTGAAAGCAGAGACTCAAACAGATGTATTTGGAGCAGCATCATTCACAATAGCTGTAAGGTGGGAGCAATCCAAGTGTCCACTGATGGATGAAAGGATAAACAATATTGGTGTCGACATACAATGGAGTATTTCTCCGCCTAAAAAAATGAACCAAATTCGGATACATCCTATAATGTGGATGGACCTTGAACACATTACGCTGAGTGAGATAAGCCAGGCACGACAGCACAAATACGGAATGATTCTACTTCTCTGAAGCAGTTCAACTAGTCGAATTCACAAAGACAGAATGTAGATTGGTGGTTGCCAGGGGTTGGGTGAGGGGGCAGTGGGGAGTTAAGGTTTAATAGTATGAAGTTTCCATTTGGGAGGATGAAAAAGTTCTGGAGACGATGGTGGTGTCGGTTGCACGATAATACGAATGTACTTAATGCCACTAAACTGTACATCTAAAAATGGTTAGAGTGGTAAATTTCATGTAAGATATGTTTTACCACCAAAAAAAAAAAAAAAAAAAACCCAAAAAAACAAAACAACAACAAAAAAAAAACGGGGAAAGGACAAGAAAAATGATGCCAGGGTCAGACTCTTGGAGATTTGGGTTGAATTTGTGCGCCAGGGCCTGGATGTCAGGCTTTTTTGTAAAGCTCCCAGGATGACTGTAACATCCAGCGTCCTCTCTCCCTTTCTTTTCCCTCCCCTGTGGGCTGGGCTTAGCATCTCCCCCCTTAGCGGGCGTTTCCCTCCCCATAAGCATTCGTGGGCTCAGGGAGGGAGGCACTTCTGCAGGAACAGTTTTCGTGAGGCAGTTCGCCTTTAGGGAGGTTTCTTAGGAACCACCGTTAGCACCACAGGCTGTGTTTGTTCCTTCCGGTCTTCAGCCCGTGCTCTTCCTCCTGATCACACTCCCATTTTCCCTACACAAATCCAAAAAGGCCTTTGCAAGCTGCAGGAGATGGGCGAAGCCCAGGAGGAGTCACAAACCCGGGGTTGGGAGCATCTCCCTCCTAGGAATGCCTCCCCTACTGCTTCCTGTAGCACACCCAAGGAAACAGGAGGGAACCTCTCGGTACCTGTGCAGGGTGACTCCGATGTCCTAGGAGAGAAAAGAGGGAAGCTCTCCATTACCAGTCTCCTAGGGGCTGTGCTGACTCCTGGCCCTTCCTCCTGATCTCTCCGTCCCAGGGTATCAGTAAACGTGGGCACCTCTCCCCAGTTCTAGTTCTCATCGCCCAGTGGGGCTTGCAGCAGAACCACACCCAAGCCCTGCTTTTCTCTTCTCGGAGATGCCAGGGGATCCCTTGAATGCTGGGACACCCTGGGCTCTTGAGAGCTCATCAAAGGGATCTGGGCGTAAGACTCTCGTCCTGTACTGACTTGGGTAGAACTATTGCAGTGCTGGGAGCCCATGTCGTCCTGCTGGGCACAGCGGGCAGGGGAAGGCCGGGTCCAACCACACTCACCTGCATGAGCTCCCATTCTGGCTGGCTCTGTTTGACCTCCATCTCCCCAATCAGCTCATTGAGAAGGGCGATGTCTCTGGACGCTCGGGTGCTGTATGACTCCCTGACGTGGCCAATGGTCTGGCCCAGCTCCTCTAGGGAGGCCATGAAGAACTTCTCTTGCTCTTCCAGAAAATGGTACAGCTGCTTCAACTGGTGCCGGATTCTCTGCTTCCGGGTTTCGATTTGTTTCTGGGGAACAGAAAGGTGTAGGGGGTCTGTGCAGTGTGCTGGATGTGTGTGCCCAGAGAATCCCCAGAAGCCCACCTCCTGGCGATGGATAAGAGGCAGGCTTCCTCAGCTTCTTGGAGGCCTGCATTTCAGAGCAGGAGGCAAAATGGACAGAACCTTCCAGAACAGACTGAGAGTGGCAGGGGCTGGCTCTCGTAAAATGCCCTGAAACCTAGTGTCATGGGTTGATTTGTATCCCCTCAAATACCTATGTTGAAATCCCAACCTCTACTACGTAAAGAATATGATCTTATGTGGAAACAGCGTCATTGCAGATGCAATTAGTTAAGATGAGGTCATCCTGGAGTGGGGAAGTTGGGACACAGACACACGGGGAGAACGCCATGTGAAGAAACGTAGGCAGAAGGTGAACAAGCTGAGGGGAGAATCCCGGGATGTGTCTTTCCCTCAAAACCTTCAGAAGGAACCAATCCTGCCAGCAACTTGATGCTGGACTTCTGGCCTCTAGAACTGTAGAGAATATGTTTCTGTGGTTTAAGCCATTCTGTCCGTGGCACTTGGTTACGGCAGCCACAGGACACTAAGATACCCAGTGTCACCTTCTTTCTTCCTTGAAAGCCAGTGTGCGGATGGCCTCTACCTGGGGTCATAAATGGACGAGGTTATAACTACCAAATCGTCCAGGAGGGAGACCTCACTCCCTGTCAAAGTGTTGGCATGTAGAAGGTCTTCAGTGTGGCTCTGAATGGAGGCCGTCGTCCATTCATGTGAAGTGAACTTGACCTCCACTACCATTGCACAGAGGTCAGCCCTTGGTCCATATTCTACCACCCTCTTTCTCCTCATCACTAGAGAGTTCCTGCAGAGAGGTGAAGTGGCTCTAGGGCACCTTCCCCTTCCTCCGTGGAGAGAGAAGCCCCTTCGGATCCTCTAGGATCTGGACTTAAAAAAAAGTCGTTTCATTTTTGGCTCAAAAGCATAGTTGGTCCTTTTGAACCAAAAATGTCTCCTTACCTTTGGTGGTGGTTGTTGATGGTAGCAACACTGGCTTTTTTCTTTCTTAAAGAGGACAGGCCAGTTGTCATGTTTACTGTTCTAAAATTGTTTGACAGTTTTGCCCATGATTAAATTCGTCTACATGTCGTGGACAAGAATACCATATACTTAGTGCTCTGGCTTCCCTAGCACATCGCACGGGGAGGCAGAGTGTCCACCTTGTCCCTCACTATTATTGGGAAACTGAGATCGGTCACTTGGTTGAGGAGGGGTCTATCAGATCTCTCCACTGTAAATATACATTATTTTCTTTATAATTATCAAGTAATCGGGGGAGTCAGTATCCTGTTCTCTTACAATCTCCTGCTGAAAATTTTAGCATCTGTTGATGATCCCTGTTGATGTCAATTCTTATACTGGTGCTCGTGTAATGGAAATGTTTTGTTTTTTATTGTTTATTTTTGAGAGAGACGGTGTGGGGGCGGGGAGCTCAAGTCATGATCTCACAGTGTGTTCATGAGTTCAGCCCACATCAGGTCACAATCAGTAGAGCCCACTTCAGGACCCTTGTTTGTCCGCCTCACTTCCCCATTCTCTCTTCCCCTCTCCCCCCCACACCGTTTCTCTCAAATAAAATACAAAAAACAAAAATATTTCCATTACATCTAGCACCAGTATAAGAATTGACATCAACAGGGATCATCA